CTAATACCACCTCCTTGGTTAAGAGGGCTCAGCAGCGTTTGCACTTCCTAAGGTAGATGAGGAGAGTAAACCTTTACAGAGGCAGAATAGAGAGTATTTTGACCAGCATCCTCTCAGTCTGGTTTAGTAGCTGTATAGCTACAGACAAGTATATCCAGAGAGTGGTAAGGACAGCAGAGAAAATCATCAGGACCTCTCTACCGTCTATACAGGAATTACATCTGACACGATGCCTTAGTAGAGCCTCCAAAATAATCAGTGACTCCACCCATCCTGCCAATGGACTGTTCACCCTTCTGCCTTCTGGCAAACGCTATCAAAGTATACGATGCAAGACTGCCAGATTCAGAAATAGCTTCTTTCCACAAGCTATTTTGACCAGCATCCTCTCAGTTTGGTTTAGTAGCTGTACGGCTACAGACAAGTCTATCCAGAGAGTGGTAAGGACAGCAGAGAAAATCATCAGGACCTCTCTACCATCTATACAGGAATTACATCTGACACGATGCCTTAGTAGAGCCTCCAAAATAATCAGTGACTCCACCCATTCTGCCAATGGACTGTTCACCCTTCTGCCTTCTGGCAAACGCTATCAAAGTATACAATGCAAGACTGCCAGATTCAGAAATAGCGTCTTTCCACAAGCTATTAAACTGCTCAATTCACATTGACATATACAGAGATACTGGTTGCTGGACTGCTGAATACATAGGTATGGATTGATTGATTAATTTATGTTATTCTTCCCTATGTTGCTACCTGATGGACTGCTGTTATATATGTACAGATTGCTTGAATCATTTATGTGGTTTCTTCTGTTCTGACATTTATGAGCAGTATTGATTATATACTCATAGTTTAATCATGTGCAATACATCCATTTTTGCACTAACTTAAGATGTATAGTAATGTATATGATGTTATTTGTTTGTCATGATGTATATTATGTTTATTTAATGTTGGTTTTGTTAATTATGCTTGCACTATTATGCACATTGAGCATTGGGCTCGGAGAAACGCAATTTTGTTCTGCTGGACACTTGTTGTAAGGCTAGAATGACAATAAAGTATTTGAACTTAAACAGAGGATTATCTAGACACCCTCATTCTCCAAACCGAGTATCCATCTGTCAAACATAGGGATGTCACGTACTTATGTATTGAACACATGCATACAAATCACATATGCTCTTGAACCTAAGTGCGTACTTAACATTTCATCTGAACATAGTTTGTATGCGGTAGATAATAGCACCTGAAACATGAATGTGCAATAGCAGAGAGGTTAAGAATAAAATGGTCATTCTTCGGGGATTCAGCAATGTTTCTAATGAATATAATTATTTGAATATGTGGGAAAGACAAAGTCCAAAGCTCATTACAGAAACCAATTTTAAACATGGACAAATCAACAGATCTTTGGACAGATTATAATTTATTTTCAGCAGCTATTGGAGATTTGATTGGAACTGATCAAGAATCTTCCTTCAGCCAGGTAATGCAGGACATCTCTAAATGTAAATAACAACAACTATGCAAATTACATTTGAGAAATTACTAGAAGGAATGTGTTCTGTACAAATGTCCCACCAAAAATGTAGGCCAGTGATAGTCTCATCTTTAGATGCTCAAAGATATGAAAATAAAACTAGCAATATATTGACTTCTAAAGCCTCTTTTTGGAATTAAATAAAACTTTTGTCAATTTAATGCTTATATTAATCTGCCACTAATAATTATCTTGAATCATCAATAATAATAATTATCCATATTATTAAAAATTTGGAAACATCTCTCAGCAAATATTGATATGTGGGTTGAATTAATTGTGATTTGATTAATTTATATAGTGTGCATCATGTAATTAATTTGATCATTTTTTTAAATGTTTGACAATAAGAAAAGACCTAGAAATGTCCCTTACAAAGACCCTTACTGTATCATCATAATCCAGCGGGTGACATAAGAAAAATGCTAGTGAATAACTCATCTTTGGGTGTTATTTTAGTGAGATCAGATCAAACAATGTAACATAGCCTGAGGAACGATGGGTGAGAGCATAATCTACAGTAATATTTTCAGTTTCTAATCTCCTAATTTCCCCCTTATAATTTTTCTCATGCAGCTAGAAATAGAAAAACTGATAGTTCCTGCTGCTGGGAAATCCATCTTCTCATTAAGGGGATAATCCACGGTGAGCTCTGATGCTGCAGATATGCATTCGCGAATTGCATTTCTGACCAACACAAAGCATCTCGGGTGAGATCAGCGGTTCAAATGAGGAGATCAAGAGGGTAATAAACCATTCCTCTGATATGTGGAGATGAGCTAATGTTCATTTGATTTGAACCCTAAGGCAGCATATATAGTTTATCTACTCTCTTTCTCTGGAGAATTTACTATCATATATCTTAGACTAGAAATGCAATGCATGAAGTATAATCTGCTGTATTCAAATCAATAATTGCAGCAGTAGTTGATTAGATCACAACACATCAGTTATCAATCTGAATGAATTAGTGTGATGCTCTCATTCATCATATCAACATAAGTGAGGTCCATCTTCAGGCAGATAAATAGCCTGTTAGGACTTGCTGTCCATGCACAGTCCAGTCATCTGTTTATGTTCGCTGCAAAGGTCATTCTAGGCTGTTTGTAGTTATAACCAGCTGCTCTCGGAATTCCTCAAGTCATAAGAGCCCAGTGATGCAGAAATAAGTGGAAAACATGAGGTGAGATGTGCGCTCTTAACTCAATTTCAGAGTGCATCTACGGCGGGCCTGTTGGCGGGTATGCCGGAGGCTTGGCTTTGCTTTTGGCTCCCCGTCTGCTGCTGACACTGATGCTGATGTGAGCTTGGCTCCCTTCTCTCGAACAATTCATTATGACCCTCTGATGACTGCTTTGAAAGCCCATGAAAAATGTATTTGTCGGAGCCACTGAGGGATCTCATATTTTACCCAGTGCACAAACATCTTTTCAAGGACCGAATCAAAATGTGCATTAGCATAGCAAATGCGAATGCAATGAAAATGGCCCAGTGATATGGTAATCAAGATGATTTTCTGCTCACTGTGGTTGAATCATCAGAAACTTTTATTAAAGACTAAGGCCTATAAGTTTCATGAGACTCATGAGGACTGTCTTTTATTAGCCCTCACGTCTTTACTCCCCATAAGCAGCTCTTAACTTCTCCATACATGTCCGTAAGTAAACAAACAGCGCTAGCAGCTCAGCTAAATGACACATAATGGAGCTCTGGGGCCGCACGGTGTTTGCCCATTAGATATAATGTTTGTTCAGAGTTATCTATTTTCCATTTTATCCACAGAGAAATGATGACTGGGATTGTATATACAATTTCAAGTTGTAAATCTCCCTGTCCTCTTATGGAATAATCTAGCATGTAGATAGATAGAGGGAGATGAGATCATTTTATTCACTGTCTGATTTATGAGTTTACGCTGCTTGTGGGTTTGCTACATTATTAAAATATTTATTTGAACAGAATGCAACACAACTTCAGTGGAAATGCTGTAAACATTGTATTGAAAAAAATAAACAGATTATGATGACTGAATGTTTGTGCTCTATTTTTGTATTTTATTTCAGCTATTTTATTTGAAAGAAATATACAGTACCTCTGATATGTTGTTACTATTCAGCTTTCAGCAATATAAAGACAAGCATCCATAGAAAGTAAAAATGCTCGTTTTTGTTATTTGCTATGTCGATTAATGTTAAATAAAGTGTCCAGTGGAAATTCCCCAGATCCCATCTCCACCATCATCTATTTCACAGAACAACACTGAGCTTTATTTGTCAGACAGTGAACTGAATCTCTGTATAAGCTGATTTTTTTCCCATTGTGACCCTTCTCCTGAGAATGATGCTCTTTAATTTTCTCTCTCTCTCAGTCTACAAAATGTTTTTTTATGACTATGTCTGAGACAAGAGATTATATATGCTTTTTCTATGCTTTTAGAACAAGCTGATTTTTTTATACTGAACTACCCTTACAAAACAGTACTGTAACCATTGTACAGTGAGGGTATTATTATGTTCCTATGATATATTATGACACTGAATGATTACCATGCACATGTGTCATGGTATTATTATGGTGAAAACAAATCAAAACATGGTGTAACCACAGTACTCATCAGTACATCAAAATTAAATGCCAAAAATTAAAATTCTTTCATCATTACTCACATTTGTGTTATTCCAAACCTCTCTCTTGTGAGGAACAAAAAATAATATATTTTGAAAAATGTTTAACTGTTCTTGTTCATTATGTGAAAGTCAGTAGGGTCTAAAACAATATTGGACCCCACTGACTTCCACTGTATAGACAAAAAATCACTTAGACATTCTTCAAAATTCTCATTCTTTTATGTTCCATAGATGGGAGAATGTCATACAGATTTAGAAAATTATGAAGTTGAATAAATGATGACAGAATTTATATTCTGGAGTGCACTATAACTTTAACCTCTGTGAACTCTACAACAAACTAATCACAGATAAACAGGTTATTTACATCACGGTAACCCCAAAAACAGCAGAACAACATCGCAGTAAGAAAGTTCCCATATAAATAGCATGTCCATAACCGGCTGGTATATCACACCCGAGGTGTTTGCAGACACGAGGTATAAGCAGGTGCTTGGCATGCACAACATGTATAATGATCACAAACCACATTCCTATACGGAATGCAAAACGTGAGCTCTGTCGAGGATAAGGGCATCACTGCATACTTGAAGGGGTCGCACATTGTTTCTGCGCTGTCCTCATTTATCTGTCATTACTCTGGAAATCCCTTGTAGTCATTGTGGGGGTGGGAGAGAGAGCTATATTTAGATCAGAGGAAGAGGTCCCTTGTTTAATCTGGAGTAATATAAATAGCAAAGAATCCTGTCATACAGTAACGTTTATGCAACAGTGAGACAAGGTTCAACAAGCTACAATAGTTGATGCGAGATTCAAAGACTCACCATTGGGAAGCTTGTGACTGTTTTCCACCAGCCAGGTGAACAGGTTGGCAAAGTTGCAGTTGCACACCCAAGGGTTGCCCTCTAACCTTACCACCCTGAGAGAGGGAAGCTGGCTGAGGGCACCCACCTGTAGCCCAGACAGGGCATTGCGTTCTAGTTCTAGTTCACGCAAGGAGGTAAGACCCATGAAAGCATCTTCGTTGACCATGCTCAAATGCGGGTTGTTGCCCAAGCGCAACTTAATTAAGCTCCTCGACTCCCCAAAAGTCCCTTTGGGGATCTCGGTTAGGTTATTGCAACCGAGGTCCAGGAAAACCAGCCTGGAGGAAGTGCTAAGGGTGCCTGGCTCAATGTGCGAGAGTGAGTTGTTACGGAGGTCCAGGTAGACCAGGTCGCTGTAGAGCACGAGGAAATCCGAAGGAATCCGTGGGATCCAGTTGTTCGCCAACAGCAGTCTCCGCACGTCCAAGGGGATCTCGTCTGGAAGACGGATAAGTCCGCGCCCACTACAGTCCACAGTGTGAGGGTCTGGGCAAAGGCAGGTTGCTGGACAGTTTTGCCCTTGAGTGAACAAAGCGAAGAAGAGCAAGGCAAGGACAGGCTGGTGCCGGTAAACACATGGCAACATGGTCAAGAAAGAGGGGGAAAAGAGAGGGAATAGGGTCAGGGGTAGAGGGATGAGGGTCAGAGGGCAGGAGATTAGGAAAGGGGAGGGGAAGGGAAAACCGAGCAGAGAATCAGTGCCAGCGCAGGAGCATCCTGCCTTCCTGGGCAAGAAATCTTAAGGTTTGCACATGGAGCGGCTCGAGCAAGACACAGACGCTGTTTTCCAAGAGATCATGTAGCAAGCAGCCCTGGAGTGATGAGCAGACTGCTGGCTTTAAAGGCACGAGGGGAGGAGAGATAGCGAGCTGTGGGAGGGAGCGCGAAAGCATGAGAGACTGAGGGAAAGGGGTGGAGAAAGCAGCAGACAGAGGTAAACAGAGACCAGAGAGCAAAATGTGTGGAAAATCAGAGGCACGAACAGATTGGCAGCGTGGAAGAGGAGGGGGGCTCTTCCAGCCGCTCTCTCGCAATTAACCCAAGCTTGATCAAAGCCTGGCAGTCTGACACAAACGGATTCAGCAAAGAGAGGCTCTGTCATGGTGAGCAAAGAGTGAAATTGTTGCATCCCTCCATTTGTCCCTCAGCTGAGCACAGGAATGATTGCTCGACCGGCGGCTGTGAACATGACCCTTGGCACTTCGGAGCCTTTGTAACTGAGCTGTCATGGTCCTAATGAGGAGAATTCCCACAGAGAATTAGGTACGAGGCAGCGGTGTCCTCTTCCCCACTCTTTTTCCTCTTCTTATCTCCCTTTCGTCTGGCTCCCACGCGTCGTGCGATGCCTAGGCACGACTGTGTCTGATGAGAGGTTGTACAGCACGGTTTTGCAGCTCTGTTGCTATGGTGAGGAAATCCAAATATCCACAAAGAAGTTGTCTGCATGCAGATTAGAGACCGGCATGGGGAATGGGGGAAGTCTATCAGCATGCTGGCTCATGGACTCCACTGCTTTTGTTCTGTGTTGTCTTTGCTGTTTAATATGGAGGGATGAGGCGACCATGCACTCAACATGTGATGTCATTTCCTTGTTAGATAAACGGTCACACAATTGCAAAATATTTTGCATGCGTTCATGTTTTTGTGCTCTTTTATCAGCCTTTATTAGACTCTTCCACTTTATGAAAATCTATTCTGTATGTCAAAAAATCAGAAAAGCATTTGAACCCACATAAGAGATTCTAGTAATTCTCTCGGCTTAACCTTCATACGACATAAAATCGATTCCCAGAGTTTTTCAGAAGTAAGGGACACACAGACCCAGCCCTGTTTTATTGTATTTTACTAAGCAGACATCAGTGCCACAGTTAATTTGGGACGTTTCTGGAAGCAAAGGGCACGTCTTTATTCATTTAGCTATCACCAGGCAGTTCACTCAATCATTGTCGCTTAGTAAAGGACAGCAGGGAGGAGCTAGACAGCGTCAGACTCTCACACAACTCCTTCAGTGTCTCCAGACAGGTAAATGGAATTAGGAAAGCAGACTTTGGTCACGACACAAAGAAAACCAGAAAATGACATGAATTGTAAAGTGAAACATGGCATGATGGGGTCACAAAACAGTCAGTCTGCAATCTAATAGGGTATTTGAAAGAGTCATGACCTAGAGTGAATACTGTAATTTACAGCTCACTGCTTAGTGCACTCATCCAGAATAAAGGCAGGTTTTAAAACATCTTGCAGAAGGACATTTTCAGTGTGTGTGTGTGTGCCAACCTTCCTCTTGAAGACAATGATCTTAGCAACTTTCACATAAAGTTTTACATAAATTGAATTTGTCATATTGAAAAAAAGTAATTGTCTAAAATTCATATATATACTCCATCATCACTCCATTATATTCCAAAAGCAAAAAAAAAAAAAATGGTGCAAACAGAAGCATACAAAAAATGGTGCTAATAGTACTACTGAAAAATCATGATCCTAACTTCTATCTCCATGCTGAAATCTCAGATGGCCAGACAGCGATTAATTTTTTATGAATCATTCAAATATTGGTGTACAGGATGGCCTGAGCCAGAGACTGTTGTGAACACCATGAGATGTGAACTTTTAAAAGCTTACCTTAAAGGTATTCTTTAAATAAACAGTGCTCATAAACAGCTGCTGAGATAGTATTCTAACTTGAAGAAGAGTAAAAAAGGAGACTTGGAACAGGAAATAGTATTTGATACATCACAACATGTAGATTGTGTGACTGCTAAATTTCTTAGAATTGCACTTCCCGTCATTCCAATTCAACATCCTGTGGGTGTGACCGATTCAATTCGGTATTCACAATTAATGGGGGCATGGTTCTTTTTCATAGTAAATTTGTGAGATGTTGACTATTGTATGCAAATTCCATTTTCATGGTTTCACTTTGGATAAAAGCTTTTAGAAAATGAATAAACATTAATGTATATACTATAGCATTCAGCAGCTTTTTTACCTATAACACCTCCTACGCCTTCCTGGAAATACAGACAGGATCTAAGGATCAATGCAATACAAGGAAAGCAAAGATGTATCTAGAACATCGCTCATGTCTTTATAATAGTGTACACTCCCAAAGGTGAAGTTCTCTATTGAAGTTCCATAGTTAACTTTGCATGTGTAAAATTAAGTCTCCTCCCGGCCCATCCCCACAGACCTCAGACCCGGACCAAGAACGGAAGCCTTTGAAGGATCCCTCAAATTATCTTTGGAATGAGGCCATATTACCATAAAACTGCACAATTAATGAGATGCGCATGGAAAATAGGGGCATGCGTGTCTGTGACAGGGAATTGCAAACATGACTTTCCATTCCCTGAGAATAAATACTATACTTAATATGGTACAAACAAATTCTTATTCAAGGCAGGCCATATTAAAAAAAAACTTGAGCTTGATTTATTTTTTTATTTTTTTCTGTTACAAAAAATAAAACTAAAGAAAGGCCATCTTCTTCGATACTTCATGAAATCTTACCTGCAGCCTACAAGGTGTGGTTCCCACCTCCCTTATGTTTTGGCTCTGGATCTGAGGTGCTACGCTTTGTGGGTGGATTTAGTGCCAGACACTGCTAATGCATCTGAAAAACTGTCAACTATTTAAAAAGTGTACAGGAAAGTAAAAAGTATACTACCTTAAAATCACCAGTTAACCATCATCAGATATTAACTAGGACATTTCATTTATTCTACAATAACATTTATCCTATATGTTTGGGAAGACAGGTGTTTTACTGCAGGTGTTATGATGAACAGTAGGTTTTGCCAAATTACTTATTTAATTTATATTATAACTTGATGCCACAGCTTTTAATATGAACAATAAGAATATTACTAATAATACACAATGTTACATAAATCTCTAAAACTTTGCTGTCATCTCAAGTATTCGTTACCTGTGAAGTTAGTCAATTTAAATATGATCAAAATTATCTAATATTCTAAAATAAGTAATCTGACTTAAGTTAAAAAGCAGAAGTTAGAAGCCAAATGTACATAACCTGATAAAAGAAATGAATAACAACAATTATAATTTACACTTTATTACAAGAATTACCAAGCCACCATTTTTTTTCTTTTTTTCTTCTAAAGAAAACAAAGAATAATCATAGAAAATAAAGCACTAACTCAGCACACACTTTATGCATTGCTAAAGGGCAAGACAACCAGCACTGCCCCGCATGAGACAATGAATAAGCTGGTTTGGGTCAGTATGGGAGAGCCAGCTACTGGGAGGAAACATGCTTAAAGCTCCCCAGATGCAGTTAAAGACCTGCGCATCAATAAGTAATGAATGCCAAGTGCTGCATGTTGTTTGGCTCGGTAGGGTGCTGGTGGCCTGTGGAGGCACATGTCCAGTGCAGGGCGGGCTGGAGGGTGGGGGGTAACATAGAAACAACAGGTGTTGGCGGATGTTGCCCTTTTATTCTGTTGCAAGAGTTATCTCACAATTGCTAACGATAAGCATCTGGACAAAGCTAGCTGGTCCTGGAACAGAGCAAAAGGGCAAGGTTTTCCCAGAGGAGGGAAACAGAGGGTTTGGAAATATTTGAAATGTCACCTCCCTTTGAGCCGATCTCAGAATGTGGTGGACATTCAAAACGCTCAGGCAGCTGTCGAGGCTAAAGCTGTGGACAGAGCCAAAGGATGCCAAGTTTGCGCCAAGTCGAGATATCAGTGATGAATGTGTTATTGCGGAGAAGAGCAGGTGACAGAAGCGAACACATCTGATACTGAGCCACGATAATGATGATTCAAACAAATGTGCCTCCTTAATGCTTATGTTACATAACTCAGCAGTTACACACTATAAACAAAATATATATCAAGTGGCAAAATTGAGAGCTTCTAAAAACTTTGGCTCGGTAGGGTGCTGGTGGCCTGTGGAGGCACATGTCCAGTGCAGGGCGGGCTGGAGGGTGGGGGGTAACATAGAAACAACAGGTGTTGGCGGATGTTGCCCTTTTATTCTGTTGCAAGAGTTATCTCACAATTGCTAACGATAAGCATCTGGACAAAGCTAGCTGGTCCTGGAACAGAGCAAAAGGGCAAGGTTTTCCCAGAGGAGGGAAACAGAGGGTTTGGAAATATTTGAAATGTCACCTCCCTTTGAGCCGATCTCAGAATGTGGTGGACATTCAAAACGCTCAGGCAGCTGTCGAGGCTAAAGCTGTGGACAGAGCCAAAGGATGCCAAGTTTGCGCCAAGTCGAGATATCAGTGATGAATGTGTTATTGCGGAGAAGAGCAGGTGACAGAAGCGAACACATCTGATTCTGAGCCACGATAATGATGATTCAAACAAATGTGCCTCCTTAATGCTTATGTTACATAACTCAGCAGTTACACACTATAAACAAAATATATATCAAGTGGCAAAATTGAGAGCTTCTAAAAAATTTTGACATGTTTGTGCGAATGCCACACAATATGCATGTCATGTACAGAGATTAAAGCGTAGAGCTTCATAAATACAATCTCGTCCTTTCTCTGGCAGTCCATTAGCGTTCTCCTTATACTCACTGTGAATACATAACAGCAATAACCTAATGACCTAAAGATGGCATACCAATGTCACATATGTAATATAACTGCAAGATTTACTGGGTTTGATGGGGCCTTGTTCTTGAAAGCTCTCAGAAGGGTTCTGTCTCAAGGTCAGCTGTGCATTGTCCAAATGAGCACAGACAGAAGCAGATGCAAAGAGAAAAAAGAATAATTCCTGATAAAATACTTTAGAGCAGATGTTCTTGCAGTGAGTTTTAGTAGAATTGTCAGTGAGCCGCCTTCTTAAAGGTATAGTGCACCCATAAATGACAACTGTGTCACCATTTCTCAGCCTCATGTTGTTCCAAATCAGTATGACCTTATTTATTTCATAGAGCACAAAAGGAGAGATGCACTGTTCGTTTGTTTCCATGCAGTTAGTTTTGAGGCATTCTACTTAACAATATAAAGTATTTACTGTCACTTTTGATCAGTTTAATTAGCACAACACAACGGAAACAAGCTGCAACACAATGAAATTAGCACAACATAACAGAAACAAGCCGCAACACAACAAAATGTGGAGATGTTGTTGTGTTTTGGAGATTTTGTTGGGTTGTGCACTACTGGACCACCGTATAAATGCATTATTTTCTTGTTTGAAGTTGTTATTCACTGATTATCTTAAAATGCCATGAGCTGTTAACACATATGTGACCAGATCAGTAACACAGTATCTCATTCTTATTAGACGTGATGCAATAAGATTTTGGCAACAAGCAATTAGTTGCGGCACGGCTACACAACACAATAAAATCAATCAAAAAACACAAACAATCAAAAGAGCATGTGGGGGGGGGGGGCTGTTTCCACAAGTTCACTTCACTCGCAACGAAACGGATAAGTAAATAATCTAATTCATAAATATTAAACCATTTTAAATTGGGATGTAATGATGGGCCCCGAGCTGGTTGAAAATCAATAAAAATATGTGACAATTCAATTCGGTTGAGATGTTAAATGAATCA